GGACGCGCCGGGTGCGCGCAGGCGTGCAGGGTGCACGCGGACACTTGTGGTGTGCATGGACGCGTGAGGCCGGCCCCGTGCCTGCTGCGAGCCCCAGGCCAGCCTGGCAGCCTCTCGCTGCGCAGCGCCGCGCGGCCAGCTTTCAGCGCAGTGCTGCGTGAGTGACCCCGCTGTCTTGCCAGGTACATCACATGTGCGGAGTACACGCAGTTCTACGGAGGGAAGAAAGCGGGTGAGTGGCATCAAGCCCTGTTTCTGCCTTCCCTGGAGACTCTCTCTGCGCGGCTGCTTCACTTCGGTGCTGTTGCTCCTGCAGCCCCGTTCTTGCTCAGCCTTTGGTTCTGGGTCGCTTGCAGCCACTCTTAGAGCTGCAAGTGTCCCTACTCCCTGTTCAATCTTGTGGTCTGGGTGCCGTCCCTCTCCCTTGTGCCCCAGACATTGGCGCGCTGACACCCTGCTTCTGTTGCTGCATCTTTCTTGGTTTTCATTCTGTCCACACAAGTATCTAAAGTTTCGTTCTCTTCACTTTATCGGAGACCTTCAGGGTTTGTACTGCACGTCCTGTCCTTTGCTTCCCTCAGCCCGTCACATGGGCTCTCAGGGACAAGTGGGGTGGTTTAACATAGGTTGGCCAACAAAGTGATCTCCTGGAGCGGAGCGTCCTCCTGCTGCTGCTCGGGGGCCTGATCTCGTCGTGAGCTGACTTTGAACTGCCAGACGTTACAAGTGGGGTCCTGAAAGTGGTGACGCTGATCTTATGCTTTCTCAGCTGTTCCGTGTGAAAACTGTAGAAATGCAAGGTTTGCTACTCAGATCAGATAATCCCTGCCCTCAACAAGATCTGTGTCCAGTGGTAGTATAAAGCTTGAACACAGTAACAGTATTAACCGTCTAATTTAAATTCAGTGCTGTAAATCTGTCAGAGATGCTGTTTTATTTCAATTTTTTTCTAATCTGTGTAATTTCATTTGAGGAGTACACTCATGCTCTGCTGTAGAAGCCTGATTTTTGTTACAGTTCTGCAAGACTGAGTGTATTTATCCTTGTTATCAGTAAATTGCCACCGCACATATTGAAAAATGTAACTTCCAAGTATTTATCATTTACTTAGTTACAAGATCAGGAGTATTTTTGTTACCTAGGACACTATGTATTTATTAAAATCCTGTGTTTTCTTTTTCATAAACAGACCTTCCACGAACTAATTTTAGACGTTTATCATTTGATCACTGCAGGTAAGTCGACAAAATTGCATTATCGTTATTAAACTCCTCAGTCTGCTGTATTCATCAGTCTGTTGACCTTGAACTATTACTGAAGTTACATGTTTAACTGAGGTAGCTACCTTCATTGACTCATGTCTGCTATGAAATTAATGAGGGAAGAGAAGTTCCAAAGAACTGACATCTGTGCCTGTACTGTCCGTAATTAATGTCTATTGAGAGTGAACCTGATGGCTAAAAGAATGCACAAGTGATAAAATACTATTCCAGTCTTACAAATCCCTGTAATTGGGACTTGAATCTCTGCTTTTCTCTGGTCAGAACCGGAGATTGATCTCCTTGATCAATCACTCATCTTTCTGAGGCAGTGGTCAGACTGAAGGAACATTTGTGTTAATGTTTCCATCACTTCAAGTAAATTCTAAGCACAAGTGAAAAGAGTGAGGTAAATATTAGTAAAGATGTTTTAGAAATCCTCTTGTAAATCCAATGGTTCAGGAAGTTACCATCCCCATCTACAAATTAGTGCTGCTCGGCTAAAAGCTGGATGGATAGTGGAAAAGCCCCTAACAGGGGATGCTCATGTGACAGCTGATTACTCCCTAACCCTTTTAGATGCAAAGACAGTGTGTGCTTGAGCCATCTTTTGTGCTGCTAGGAGCTGGCGTGGCAACAGAGACAGACTAGGGAGTACTGCAGTATCCATTCCAGTGGCTGTATGGTTGTGAGTGCTGGCAGCTACAAGTTATTGGACTGAATTGGTTCCTTTCAAACTAAGTTTTTGTTTCTTACCTAATGTCTGTGTTATCAGATAATGGGTATTGGTTAGCCACTGAGTATTTTCATTGGTATAGGCCTTGCTGTAACGTGCAAATAAATCAGCAACATGTTATTTGCTTCTGTCATCGTGATTTCCGGATGATTTTGCTAAAAACAGTCTGTATTTTTTTTTTCTAGTTTGTCTCTACAGCCATTTGAATACCCGGTTTGCACACCAGATGGGACAGTCTTTGACATACTGTAAGTTACTGTCTGTACTTTGCGTTATTTTTGTGTTGCTGAATTGACTCGCCTATGGCTGTGCTTCTGCCTCCTGTGTGATCATCGTTTGGTCTTTGCAAGTTGGCAAAAATAATTACGCCCATCACAAACGGAAGTTTCTAATAGCACTTTTCTCTTATCCCCTCTCTTTTCAGGAGCATTGTTCCTTGGATAAAGAAATATGGAACCAATCCAATCACAGGAGAAGTAAGTAATTATGGTTGTATTCACATAATATGTTGGTTTTCTTTATGTTCAGTTTCCTATATGATGTGTGGGAGAAACAAAAACACTTTAATGAAAGCAAAAAGAAGTTGAGTGGAAGTGTTATTTTGAAATATGATATTTGTGAGACCAAGTTTGCTGAAATAAGAGTACAGATTTATTAGGAATTGCTTTTTTAGCCAAAAAAAAAAAAGGGGGGGGCCTTTTAGATTTGAGACCTGATATGCGCTCCTCGCCATCCTGCTTATTATCTTTGCAGCAGAAAACAGTGAGCTTCTGACTGTGTGTGTGGAGGTGCCAGAAGAAAGAGGAGAGTGTTACATTTTCTTTTTCGCATTGGATCATAGATAACATTGTGGAGGAAGTGAGCACTTCATTTATATAAATTCCCAGGGTATCTTGCTGATATTATAGGTGTGCTGTAATTAAAGTTTATATAGGTGAATATGCTAACTCCCCTGCTACTGAGGCTCGCAAAGCCTAATTGGTGGGGGCTAGATGGGTTTTGGAAAAAGCGTTGTGCTGCTGCCTCCTACAGGCAGAATTCTAATCTATACGGAGCAAGGTGCTGGCTAGGTCACCTCCACACCTGGGATAAAACTTGCAGTGATGTTTCCTAACTAAAAGGATATTTAGCTCTGTGCAGATTAGAGAGATTAAGAGATAATACTGGTGTGGATTAATGGTATTCTGAGGTGCAAAATAAGTTATCTTGACAATATATTTCAGAAAAATTCTGCCTCATCTCTCATGATAGTTCATTTTAAGACTGTGATTTCACACTATAATCAGTGCTTTAGTTTTTATATTCCTTTATTCTGCATAAGTGATAGCTTACTATCAAGGGATTACTTTGTGTAATAGTGTGAAGCTGTAGAGCACTAGATAAAGTTGAAATGCTGGAGATATTTCCCTGCTGGCATTACATTTTTGCTGATGCGCTTAAAGTGAGTGAATTCTTTTTTAGGGCATAGAGGAAAAATTTTGGATAGAAATTGTTGCATGACGTATTGAAACTTCTTTTCCTTGAGTAAATGCAGTTACTTTCCTGAACATTAGGTGGCAGCTATTGCACAGAGTTTTTGGTTGGTTTGCAGATTGTTTTGTGGTAAGAGAGTACCTTTGAAGCATCTTGGGTTTGATTAAAGATTTTCCCAGCAGACAGATATGAGGAGAAGCGAAATACAGATGCAGCATTCCAAACTCTAGATGTGAGCAGACTGTCTGAGACAGAGTATCTCCGGAGTTACAGCAAGCCGCAAGTGTATTTGCTTGATGATCATCAGAGGCCTGCCTTTACACACACAGAGGCCAATATATGTTGCTTGGAAGGAAAAGAATTACAGCTATTTCATTCGTCTTTGCCACCTTCCTAATACCTTGCTGCTCTGTGTGTTGGTTGGGAGTTTTGGGGTGTTGCCAGATCGCTTGTTTCCATTCAGATCAACTTCACGTTGATCTCATTTTGTGCTGTGAACCGCGATATGCTTTAAAAGTACTTCTGGTAAATGCTAAGCAAGGGGTGTGATGTGGCTAGTGGTATTGTGGACTATCATAGAGAAAGTATGGAGTGCAGGATAGAAATCTGACGTGCAGTGTTTGGTCTGTGGACTCCTAACAGAGTTGTTCCATTACATCAGGTTAGTTTATACGCTCCCTCTTGCACTGCCTGCGTTCTGCTGGGAGCACCGTTCCTCCCCAGCAGTGGTGTTTTAGCACAGGCTCCTTGTCCCTGAGCAACAGTGCTCTGCTACTGTTTCCGCTGATGGAAGCTCTGCTTTAGGGAACGAGTGAGATTGTGCAGAATTTACCTGGCGAGCCA